ACGAAAATGAAATGCATTCGAAGCAGGAATTAATTTATAATCTTTTACAAATTTTTATTTTTATATAATTTCTTTACTGTCTTTACTTAAAAAGATTCACTTGGCACATCTAGAGAAAATTGTGTACAAATTATTATTTTGTTAGCGGGACAGAGATTTTTAGATAAAGAAATGGGTTTGACAGTGTTTAGTTTTATAGATATTTTATTTATTTATAATTTATTTGGAATACATAATTTTTTTAGTGCTGATTAAATAAATTCGTCGTCCGGCTAATGAAATGAAAATTAAGCTCATTTTCAATGTCTGCAAGACTCTTTCTTTTAATTCATCAGTAAAATAAGTAATAAATATGATACCGGGAAGAAAAGAGAACAGAGGATATTTCTTGTTGAACCCGAAAAAAGGGGGTTTTCAGCAGTTTATTTTGAAAGGGAAATTATTGCGATGAACGAAATTTTCAGACAATAATGTACTATATTTAAGCTTCAAAAATTAATTTTTAGTATTAAAAAATATTGGAGTTTTCCAATATTGTAATGAGTTTTCTGAAGCGGCTGCAGTCTGAACTTATGAAACGGTAAAGATGATGGAGATCGTGCGGTGGATCTGAAACAGTTAAACCATTTTTTTTAAATGCCTCTTTCAAATGAACAAAAAAAAAAAAATACCGAGGGAGTTGAAAAATTCCAATTTCTTTTGAAGTTAAAAAAAAAAACACTTCAAGTTGCAAGTTTTAGTATAGACTTAAGAAAAAAATGCATTTCTTAAAGCCTTTAAGGCGAACTTTTGGATTAATAATAGATCTTGAATTGCTGTCAAATTTTATGGCATAATTATTAGTATCGAAGTAAAATGGACATTAACTTAAAAAAAAACTTAATCATCCAGTAAATAGCACATTTACCCTACCAAATAAAAAAGTATTTGAATAGAGTAAATACAACGAGGATATATGTTCAAAACATATGTATGTACATATGTACATCCATACACACACATATGTATATGTATGTAAATGTATATGCCTTCAACATTTTTTATTTATTTATTTTATTTCTTTATATTTAGTTAGGTATGTACATATGTATGTAGGTGCTTACCTATCATATTTATTTTCTATGTGCGCATTTGGAAATTTCACAAATCCAATTAAATGTGCGAATATCAACTAAAACAAATATGAGATTATGGAGCAGTAGAAAAAAAAAAACTAAAAGATGGCGAGAAATTTTTCCATAAAAAAAATTATAGCGATTGAATTGAGATAAAAATGAAGAGAATTGAAAAAATGTATACATAAATGGCGAAGGGTGGACGAATTAGGGAGTTTTATGCGTATTTAGTGTCAACTTCAAAATGTGAGGTTAAGTTAGGTTAATCTAAAGAAACAACAAAGAAGTGGCAAAGTGGCTGCTCTCAATTTATCTGCGCAAAAATATAATTCGAAATTAATTAAATTACATTATACACACATACACACAACAACTAATATACAGTAATAAACTATGCAAATTTCAAGTGTCGGGCGCGTGAAAAATCGTACAGCGAAACAATCTATTCGTCATCAACAACATCATCGGTTGCGACGATGGTTAACAGGAACAACAACAAAATTGTCAGCATGAGAATAATAAACAAAAAAAAAAAACAAAGATATCGTTACGGGCAGTAAAAAATCGTAGCTAACACACAAAAACAACGAACTTAACGAAATTCATATTTCTTGCCCGACCGAGGAGCGAACATACGAAAGCTATTAGCAAAAAAGGAAAAGAAAAAACAAAAAAAAAAAAAAAAATAACACTAATGTACAGAAAATACAAAAAATGTGTGTAACAATAGCAACAACAAATTACACTAAAAGTTGCTGTTGTCGATGTGCGAGTAATCGCACACCCACCCGCATAAACGCTCAATTTCGCATCTCTACTGCGGCTAAAACGACGATGTATCTTCGCTAAAAACAATCTTGACACAAAACAATGGAATAACAACAAACAACAATAAGTCAAGAGAGCGACGGAGAGGGAGAGCGCTTGCACAAATTACACAAACTATAAAGAAAAAAAATCAAAATACTTGTTTTGTTCATTTTCGATACATTTATACCAACTATGTACATATGTAAATATGTTATCTACATACAAGCACACAGTGGCGTCGAAAAAATCGCTACTAGTTATAATTGAGTATAAAAGTGGATATTAAATATTTATATTGCTTTCTAGGGGGATACTGATGAATTTTTGTTGGAGCGACATTGTGCATATAAAAAAATTTATGAAAACATCGTTGAGGATCAATCCTTTCTTTATATAATTTTAAAATTTTAATTTTTGGTAACTTTTGCATTAAAAAAAATTTTTTTGGTTTAATTTTTTTTAAATTTTTTTTTAATTTTTTTTTAGAACCAAGCAATTAATTTTTCAATTATTTTTGGAGATGACATTAAGTTGCAAACTCAGCGACTAATTCGATTGAGGTGTGAAAGTTTTCAAATGTATGAGTACCTATTACTTTTAGACCTGTTTGTACACACATACATGCATACGAGTGTGTATATGTGTGCATATAAATTAATTTGCCAATTTGCCTATTTACGCTCTTCTCCCTTAATTGTTATGTACATTTTATATCGTTATTATACTTATGTATATATGTAGTATGTATTATTTTTGCGTTTTTACTTATTAACCGCCCCAAATGGATTTTTTATGTGATTTATTAAATGAACGAAATAGCATTTGTTCGGATTTGGATACATACACGATTTGGTAACTACATCTTTATTTCTACAAAAATTAATAGTTCTCATAATTTTTTTAATAATATATTTTTTATACATTTGTTTCTATTAAATGAATAGAAAGAGAGAATAGGGATAAGTATTAAGTAATAAAATTTCGTCTGTAGCTAAATTTCCTTTGAATTTATTTCTCTACTTATATACATATGCACCTACATACACACGTATATTATATATAAGTATTGAGATTATCACATCGTGTTCGTGGAAACACCTTAATTTATTAATGTAAATATAACTATAGAAATCAGCAGTCTCAATAAAAAAAACACAAACAAACAAACAACAAAGTGGTCAGCAGGCAGCTGCCGCAACCTTAATATCCGTTTAATTATACTAACAGCTTATGTTGTTGTTATTCGTTTTTATTTTTATATCTTGTTTTTATTTTATTTCCATTCTCTTATATGAATTTATTATTTATTGATGCTGCATGTATGCACACACACACACTGGCATACATTATTTATTTGTATATGTAAATATACATATGTATATAGCAGAGTTTTATAGTGTCACCTTTCAGCTTGGCAAAGTAGAGTGTCGTTTATGAATTTTTAATCGGTTTAGTTTTTTTTTTGTTTTTTTTTTTTTTTGCTTTTAATGGCTATAAACTTAATTGGAATTTTAGCTGGTATAGTTTCGGTAAAGCTTCGCGTTATTTATACCTATTTGTTGACTAGTTGTTTCTCTTTTCTCAATATTATTCTTTACTGCGCGTTAAATACACATTCGTCTATGATTTTATTATACCTACAGTGAATAATTTGCTTACGTTTTCTCTAAACACTATTTATTAAGCTCTGCTTGCCCACACTTCGCCGTCATTTTACCTTCGAATTAAATGTTAAATTTGATTGCTGTCATGAATTTGTATAGTAATTTAATTTGCATAAGTCTCCTAACATTTTAGAGTTCGAATTTGATTTTTTTTAATATTATTTATATTTACACGTTGATATATGTATATAGCTACCTACTTTGTTAAAATCAAAATGAACGTACGAGTTATTTTTTTAATAATAATTTCCTACCGATATTCAGTAGTCGGCTGAATAAGCGCTCGTTGGTTGGCGGCTCACAGTTTAGGGTAAAGGAATTGAATGTATGTATATGTATATATTTATTAAGCAACAACAACTACTTAACGCATATGGCTATTCGAAAAATAAAAGAAATAACCACTAAAGACTACACAAAGAAGAAAACTCGTTATATCGTCTCCAAAGAGTGCCTTCATTTAAATAGAATCCGATGCAACAAAACCAATGAAAAAGGTCAGCTCTAGTTTTAAGGATAATAATTGCATGTTCAGGTAAAGGTAATTGCTACTGATACGATACGGCTGCACTGTATTGTATTTGTTCATAATATGCACTCCGTACACATTGCAATTGTTGTATGTTTTTTTTATTTGCGCTTTACTTCAAGGGTGAACAAAAATGAAGCAGGGTTAAATACAGCACAGCAAAATTTTTAAGATAATATTAAATATTGCTTCCATAATATGTAAGAAAAAACATTCATTGCATTCATTGGTGAATTAAAATATATTGAATTGAATTTGGTTTCCTTTTCGTTTTTCTCTTTTGCAAACATACACACACATATATTTTACACAACATAAAAACGTGAATTAGAGATGGTATCAGTACACGCAGTTTATTGTTCAGAATAATTCTCACGTTCGTGTACAATAAGGATTTTTCTTATTAGCTTTTGAAAATTCGCGTTGTTTCGTGCAATGATCCTAACCAACTATATACATATTTATTTTTCACTATCTATCAATCAATTATTTTCTATGCGGTTTCTCTTTTGGTCGCAAAACCTATTTTTTTTTCTTGTATAATCCACACATAAAAGAAATTCCAGCAATAACAATGTAACGGTGGAAACCATCATACAGGGATAGGCAGCAAGCCATTCATTCAGCCATCAAAACAAACTACAAATTCACCGCCAATTGCAAGGCAATGCGCGCGCATTTGTTTTCTAAATATTTTGCTCTTTGCTTCTATGTTCTACATTTACGTTCCTCTTATTTACCCACTTTACATGTTCTTCCGTATCTTGTGTTGTTTTCAACTTTTTGCACATTCTTCTTTCGATTTGTCACTCTTGTCAGTATTGAAAATTATATTTCGTTGGTATGCTCCCAAATTTTGTATACGTTATTGTCGTTGCTTACCTTATTTTGAATTAATAAACTCCTTTTTGTTATGTGTTTTTTTGTATAACCTCCTCACACCTTTGATTAATATTTCTTTTTTATTTTCCATATAACTTTTCACTGAAATTTATTTTATTTTTACATTGTATTTCGTACATTTTGCACTTTGTCGTTTCGCATTCACCTCATCTTTTGCGGTTTGCTTCAGATTGTTTTCGTTTTTCTTGTTGGTTTTACGCTCCCGCTGTTACTATTCGCGCAGAGCAATCTCACTACCGCAAAAAGATACACAACCACACAGATACACATATACACTCTCGCTACGTACGAATACACTGTAATACTCGTGTATACGAAAGATGAAAAATTTTTCTCACTACCTTCACTTCACAAGCAGGTTTTCTGATTTTCATTAGGTATTTTCACACACCTTCAACATGATATTCATGCCGTTTTCACTTCACTTATGTGTATTTGGGATTGTTTTTCACTTTTTTCCAAAGTTTAATAATTAATTATGACAATTTCCACATTAATTTGCGAATTTTATTTCACTCACAAAACGACATTACATTTAAGGGAAAAGCGAATTGGAAGAATGCAAAATGTGAGCTTGGCTGCGGTTATTCTATCATTTCTCTTTGACAGCTGAATTCCATGTTGAGCGTGTTCCCTTAGCTGGTCGTTAACCACTTGGCAGTGTTCACTGCACAGACAGTTACGAATTAAGGAACAGAGAGAGACGAAGATAGAAAAAAAATTAATACGTTACTTTTAAAATATGAAAAGAATTTTCAGTAACTGACAACAATATAGCAAAGTTTTTTAGTTTTTTACATAAACAGATTGTTGCTATGGAAAAAGCAAAAATATTAACAGATTCTATTTTCGGCCGCATCGAAATCCGCGTAGTTCCGCTATATCGTTCTGATCGGATTCGATTATGGATTCCGATAAGTTAAAGCGGATAAGGTGTCAGAATATGATTATGCAATTCCGATGCCAATCGAAATTAGCTTTCAGCTCATGTCAACCTCTGGACTCGAGTAGATTAGAAATCCAAATATTTAATGCGGTTGACAATATTGGTTATAGTTTCCGAGCTCTCTCTAAATAATGAAAGTTCTTGACAGATTTATTCAGAGTGAAGATTCAGATTTGGCAAAATAATAACTGTTTGTTTGCCCTCATTCAGACCCTATTACTCGCTTCCTTATTCAGGTTGCGGGGTTGTTAGAACCTCTTATATAAGATTATACCTTCTCTAAACAGCTCTGCAGATTATATTTTTTGTCTGGCAAAATAAAGTAAAGAAGTCGCACGATGAGAAAACCGCTTGTCTGAAACCTTCTTCCTGATCCTGGCGGAGCTTTTGGTGTTGCATAACGTCAGTTTAAATAGCCGTATAAGTTTTGTGTGCATATCGAATCCAGCTCCTTTTCCTGCTTCGAAGGCTGCTTTCAAATTGTTGATTTATCAGATATAAAGTCTCACTGATAAAGTCGCATCAGGTTGCTGATTGTGGGCTTTAGTTTTTCACACAATACGCTCGATAGGATCTTAAATAGGATATTAAGAAGGCTATCCCACGGTAATTGGCGCCGACTGTGGGATAGCCCATTTTTGAAATGGACTGACCCTTAAATTCTAGTCATCGGCCAAGCTTTCGTCCGACTATATCGGACATGCACCTTATAAGTTCTTCAACGCTGTTATTGAATAGCTCGGAAGGCAATCCAGCCTTCGCTCCATATTTTCATACAATTTTCGAGCATTACCTCTGTCGGCCGGTTTCTCAAGTTCTTCATACTAATGCATTTCGACCTCTTTCTTTTATTTTATTTTTTTTTTTGTCTGCACATGCACTTGGTTCCCTCCTTAATGATCCGCTATCTATTCCACGTCGCGCATGTGGTCAATCGCAATGTTGCGAGGTAGACAGTCTTTGAAATTAATTTTCTATACCTGGAAGTCATGAATTGTCTAAGGATGTTTGGCCTAACACCCATTCTTATCGGCTGTCTACAAAAAATAGTCAAACGGTGTCAAATCGCAGCTACGAAGTGCATAAATTCTGACAATTTGAAAATTTCAATATATATTGTTCTTGCATTTTGCATTCGAAAGTTAACTGTTAATTTTCCTCAAGCGCAAATTCAACCATTTCTTAAGCCGCAAATCTGACAGAATATTTGACACATCGGAGATGCCATTGCAAATGTCAAAGCTCAATGAAGCAAATGGTATATGGCTCACCCTATGACTTCAATCAACAAATACATATATATATTTGAGTATGTACTTACATACATATGAATTAAGAAAAAGTTAAACAACGAATTTTTTGTTCAATTTAATTATGCTTTATTATTATTATTTTTTTTTTTATTACGTCATATCTTCTGGCAATATCTTTTATATTATATTTAACTACTATTTTATAGTATCGTCTGCCTTAGAATTATAAGTAATATTAATAGATTTTTATTTTAAATTACAATTTTGTATATTATAGTAATCATATATGCATGTAGTGTATGTATGTTTTTGTATTCTTTATTGTTTCGCAACAGTATGTTTGTGTGTGTGTGTGTATGTGTAGGTGTTTGACTTTATTGAACTTTAATATATGATACATATAAACATAATACAGTTATAAATAGTTTTTACATATACATACATATATACTTACATACTTATATAATAGTTTTGAATATATGCATATTGTATAGTTGTAGTTGTTTGGTTTTTGGGCATGTCACAATGATATTTAACGTTTCATTTGATATTTGACAGAGTTTTCACTTTGTATTTTGCATACAAGCATTTTGGCTTACACATTTGGCATTTGGGGAATTTCATTGAGATTTGATTTTGCGTTTTATTTATTTATTAATTATCAAATAGGAGTACAATACATACATAGTTGTTATAGCACATAAACCTAAAGATAAATCGGTTTTTCATTTTATTAAATTTTTTTTTAAATTATAAAAAATAATTGCTTATATGTTTTATTTTTTTGCTCTGTTTCTTATAATTATTATTATTTTTTTTTTATTTGTTAATTTTTTGTTTCTGATAAGAATTCGATACGTTCACTGATACGTTTTGTTTTTACATTTTTTGCATTTCTTATTATTATTATTATTTTTTCATTTCATTTTACATACGTGTTTGTGTGTATGTGTGTTTTAAATTCTAATCGTTTTCATTATTGTTTTACAATATTTTTTATGTTTTTGCTTTTGAACATTGCACTATTTGAACAATTTTTTTATGTTTATGTATGTATGTATTATTATTAATTTAATTTTTTTATTGCAAATTTTCATGTGGTGCTTTTGCTTCAGTAATTAAATTTATTTATATATATTTTTTTCGTTTAATCATTGTACGAGTATAGCTAACTTACAGTAAACCATAAATAAATATTGTATTTGCCTTAACTATTTTTTTTCTATTATTATTTCACACCATTTTTTGCATTTTTTTCTCATTTTTGGCAAAATATTTCCTTTAGCTCATAACAAAATAGTTTTCTTTTCGCTAACAATCGTATAATTTAGATATTGACAACCAAATATATATAAATATATAAATAACGCTTTGTGAACCGCTGAAGTGACTTTCGGTCGAGCTCCTCTTCCAGTTTGTGACATTCGTCTTGAGATTTTACCACCAAATGGAAGGACCTCCAATTTATACTAAACCGCCTCCGAACGACCGCTGGATTTTTGCGAGGAGCTATTTGTTTGATGTCAGAAATACACTCGGAGGGCCTGACAATCCCTGCCATGGGGTGACGGCAATTGGAAAAATTAATTTTCTATAATTCGAACCCTGGTCTTCATAAAACCCAATACTATTGTAAAAAAACGACTAAATCGGAAAAATAGGATTTGCAGCTTCATAGCTTACATCTCGAAAATCTAGCGCTGGAATCATATTGTACTGTCTAAATAGACTGTTGTCAAACACTTGACAGTCATGGCATAAGATTGAAAATATTTTCGAGCTCTCTGGAAATATAATAATGTTTTTGAACTTAGTAGAGAATAGAAAAGTTAAGAAACTCTCGCGACGGACAAAGTCCAAGATTAAGAAGTCGCTCAAAATACACATCCAATTGTATAGTCTCTAGCGGAGACAAGCTGCCAAGCGCCGTAAAATTAAACAATAGGTTCTGCAAGGCGGTGTCCTCTCTCCGCTTATGTTTAAGTTTTGCATCTCGAAAATCCCTACTCAACCAGAGGGTATTTCTTTGGTCTAATATGCCGTTGACTGCTTGAGCTGGATATTGTAGTCGATTTAACTCCTATATATATCCAGACTTGACTGCGGCACACCCAACGTATGTTCTGCAATTAAACCCGTCATGACACTAACTATCTCTGCGCAGTCCCTTAAAATCGATTTATATATAATATCCCCAATTGGCCTCTGGACCTAGTCCCTGGAAAAAGCTCGTTTCATGAACCTCCCGTTAGACTACATTAATTGCTTAGACTAGCTCACCTTTTCCTAAGCGTGTTTAGAGAACTCTTACAGCTATCACATCGGATTGGGCGCTCAAGAATTTTTTAACGGTAAGGAACGCATGTCGTGAGAGGCAACTAAAATCAAACGTGTTTCGTGCTGCTCTTGCAATATTTCACGAAAATCAATTATGAGAATATTTTAACGGTTATAACAACAACGGAAGTTTTAACTAGCATTACAGATAATAACGTAGAAGTTATACGAGTATGTATGGCAAAAACTGGCAGTGACTTTCATCAAGTGATGTCCAGTAAGTTGAGTCGCTGATCTCAAAACAGCCTCAGACTTTACGAGATTTAGTTTTACGAGATTTGGTGAACTTTAAGCTGATTTTTTACAGCAGTAGCGTATTTCAGAGCATTCTATTCAGCGAAGATGATCTAAATGAGCTTGTCAGAGACCTGGTAGCACAGGAAGGAGTATCGTAAAATAATTAAGGACAGGAAATTGCACCCAAAAAAACTCTCTGGTGCACTCTTTGGCTGGGAGGTGAAACTATCACTTTCAATTCGGAGCTTTATGATCGTACGATAACCAATTTGATTGGAACAACAACTGAAGAACACGACTTGGAAAGTAAATGGCTTCATCAATACGAACGAAAATACGTTATTTGGTTTGTTCAAATTGTTTTTGTTTTGCGGAAATAAGACGCAGAGTCGCTTTTAAAGGTTTGAATGTAACATGAACACAATGTCTCAATTTCTTCGCAACCACTTGATATCTAAGTGAAGCACAGCTCGATCCATTCCAACACGGAGTATTGACAGTAGTTCAGCAAGAAAATCATAGATAAGGAAATGTTTAATCTTAAGAATAAAAATAAAAATAACCGTGTCATAAGTTTTTACTCTAGAGCTTTTGCAGAAATTTCGATTTCGAGCTCGGCGTTGGAAACGTCAGCAAAAATTGAACGAATATCATGCAATTGAACTCAATCATAAAAATGCAGTCCCGCAGACTCAACGCCGATCGGTAGAAGCGTTTTAAAATTTCCTTCAAGCTACAATGCCCCGGGAGAGTGCGAGAGTTTTTCGTATACATACTGAAAATTTAATATTTATATAGATGCATATACACTTTTTACAATTCGTATTTAATATTTAATTGACAGCAAAATAGGTGAAAATTTCGGTATTTCTTCATTATACTACATTTTTGTTCTTTTTTACTATTATTTTAACCAACGAACAAACAAAGAAACGTGCTAAGCAAAAGTATGTATATAAATGCATAAATGGTAAATAAATGCATTAGTCTTTTTACGCTTACTTAAACTACGCCCGCCAGTCTTCTGCTTTCGGTGAATTGAGCGTTGAAAGTAGCAAATTTACTATGTAAAACGCCAATTGGATCTTTAGTAGAGCCGTCAATGAATGAGAATTTGCACTGCCGCGCGCCGCTTCTTCAATGCCTGAGAAATAGATTAACATATATATATATAAATAAATATATTTGGTAGCAAAATGAATACATATATGATAATTGAAACTTACCACTAATAAAATTCAGGTGATCATCATTTACGGATGCAGCACCGGGATGTAGTTTAATTTCTACAAAAAAAAAAAAAAAAAAAATTAAATAAAAAATAAATAAATATATAAATAGAATATAAATTATCAAGAAGGGAGTGTTTTATAAAAAGCATACATTTTTATCATGAATTACCCGGACCTCTCCATTCAAAAATAACCCAACATGCGTACTTACCATATAACCTCAGCGTGCCTTCAGCACGGCCGAGGGAATTCGTGCTCACACAATGATATGTGCCAACATCGGAGGGAGAGAATGAACGAACAATCAGCAGCATTACTCCACGATAGCCGTCACGTTTTTCCGTTATACCATATTTGGGACTAAAAGTGTGAAAAGGGTAAATGAAAATAAGTCGTTTATGAGAAAACTTATTCTTTTTTTTATTAGCGGAAGAAGTGATTTATTTGCTTCTCAGACATATATAAATACATAACTGTACAATTATGAGTAGTGCTATGTCATAAATAATGATGTTTTGTAGTATTTATTCCAATTTTTTAATGAAAAAACTATACTACCATTATAATCACGTGACCATCACATGATGTAACATCACATTCTGAAGTCACATCATATAACATACACATTTGCGATAATTTACAATAAATATCCGTGATAATAGCGGTATTTTTAAAAACGTGAATATTTATATGCCCATAGAACATGTCACAGTGTTTTTGACTTGACGTGGCAAAGCCTTATCATCAAGTCCCTCACATCACGTCTGCAAACCACATCATCACAAGTGTGGTATTAATAAACAAAGATATCAACAGATGAAATAATTAAACTAAAGTAATTAAAATATAAGAAAATCAAATAATATGAAAGAAAACATAAAATATTAAATTAATTAAAACCAAATATAAAAAAAGTATAAAATAAAATAAAATAAAATAAAATAATATAAAATAAAATAAAATAAAATAAACTAAAATAAAATGAAATAAAATGAAATAAAATAAAATAAAATAAAATAAAATAAAATAAAATAAAATAAAATAAAATAAAATAAAATAAAATAAAATAAAATAAAATAAAATAAAATAAAATAAAATAAAATAAAATAAAATAAAATAAAATAAAATAAAATAAAATAAAATAAAATAAAATAAAATAAAATAAAATAAAATAAAATAAAATAAAATAAAATAAAATAAAATAAAATAAAATAAAATAAAATAAAATAAAATAAAATAAAATAAAATAAAATAAAATAAAATAAAATAAAATAAAATAAAATAAAATAAAATAAAATAAAATAAAATAAAATAAAATAAAATAAAATAAAATAAAATAAAATAAAATAAAATAAAATAAAATAAAATAAAATAAAATAAAATAAAATAAAATAAAATAAAATAAAATAAAATAAAATAAAATAAAATAAAATAAAATAAAATAAAATAAAATAAAATAAAATAAAATAAAATAAAATAAAATAAAATAAAATAAAATAAAATAAAATAAAATAAAATAAAATAAAATAAAATAAAATAAAATAAAATAAAATAAAATAAAATAAAATAAAATAAAATAAAATAAAATAAAATAAAATAAAATAAAATAAAATAAAATAAAATAAAATAAAATAAAATAAAATAAAATAAAATAAAATAAAAAAAAATAAATAACATCAAATAATTTAAAATAAAATACAATAAAATAAAGTAAAATAAAATAAAGTTAATTTAAATATAATAAATGCATGATATGATTTTCCACGCATTATATTCTGTTGATAATTTAGGCACATAAGAAAGAGTTGACACTTAAGACATATGCTGCGGTATATATATATTAGAGGTATCACTGTGAAGTTGTTTCGAACTGGTTTTCCTTTGTCTTTTGAAATCGAGTCTGCAATTTGTTTGGTTTTCAAAATGCCTTTCATTTCTAAAGCGATAGATTAATAGAGTCGGTAAAGGGATATTTAATATAAAAGTGTCAATCGGTATTCTTCATGACATTGTTTCTCATCTATTAATGAACTCTTTGAATATATTTACCCATCCAAAAGCATTTCTGGTCCCGGTTGTCCTAATTCCAAGTTCGAGCTTGTTAAGCTGGCGTAACCACTCGGAGTGCGCGCACCCTTTAACCAATATGAGACGGGTGAGGGCGAAGCCTCAACATGACATTCTAGTTGCACATCCGAGCCGAGAGGCGTGCCCAGTAGTTGGCTAGGAGCACGTACCATGGGTGCAACTGAGGAAAAGGGGAATAAAATGTTTAAAAAGTTCGGCATGAAAAGCTACTTTCAAATAATGTGTGGATTTTAAAGATAAGAAAAAAAAGAAATCAATTAAATACTTTTCAATATAAACTACCAAAAGCACTTACACTGCACACTTAGCGAAACCCTCTTACTAACTGCCGGTGGCACATCATTCGATGCAATGCACAAGTAGGCGCCCATCTGTCTACGCTCCAAGCGTATCAACCGCAAAGAAGAACCACTGTAAGACTCCACTGCAAAGAAAAGAGAATGCACGAAAATGAAAAAGCGGAAAGGAGTCAGAAAAAAATGCAAATTGAAATAAAAGTGATTGAAGAACTTTCACATCGTGTGCGACCTGAATGATTTATTGACTTCAAAGTGTCTATAAATAATCGTTTATGTACTCGCCCATACACACACACACACATACACACACGGCGTACGGTGCGCATCCTGTGCTACGTGATATATATTGAGTTATGTATTCCTTTCTTTATGTGTGTGTAAGTATGTAGGCATGTAAGCTAGTAGTTATGTCTGTGCGTACCTTTCATCAGTTCACGACTTCCCGACTTGCGTATTAAAATCATTTCACCATCTTCACGACGCCAGATGACGCGTGGCATTGGATTGCCCGTCGCCTTGCAGGTCAATGTGGCGTCCTCGCCCTCTTGTACTGCCAAGTCGGCTGAGGATTCCTCGTTGATGATGTCGGGTGGCACTGCAAATACGAACAAACAAACAAACATACACATTTACTGAAAGTACATACATATATATACATATATACATATATATTATTTTATATATAATATTATATATAACACAAAGGTGAAGCGTATAAAAGTATGAAGTCGTTGAGTAGTATACGAGTATATATATATATATATATGCGTACATATATATGTGTTAAGCGTATACAAAGTGACGTTGAAGGTTAAGTTGCTTGGAAAAAATGTTGAAGATAATACGTGACTTAAGCGCATTGCAAAAGTGAAGTGGCACTGATAATGCTGACTTTTCATGGCGCACGAATTATTATGGCACTCGATTTTTTCTCGCAGATAATTAAATAAAGCTGTCGTCCTTTGACTCGAAGACCTGTTACATGAACGCTTGCCTGCTGCTGGCTGTTGACTGCTGTTCTGGTGTTGCTCAGGAGAAGGACAGCTTCGTAATGAGCTTCGAATTGGTGAATGAGCGTTTTAATTCAACTTATTTATGAAGTCGCGTCATGAAATTTACATTTACATTTCAGTTAATTCATAATTTTATAGAGTAATAATCTTTAATTTGTCACTTGATTTAAAGTGTAATTTACCCACGAACAAGCTGATTTTTTGTTTGACATTTATTTTTCCACGATTGTGTGGAGAATTTCTAGGTGCCCACGAACTTCGAGGCAGATCTAGAAGCAAGTATTTTGAGTATCGCAGAAAGTGGATATACCGTGGCCATGTGGGTGGTCATGAGTTCATAGTCTAATCATATGAGAATCTAAAAAATCTGCAGAATATACTACAGGGGATAACCCTCAAGGAGAGTCTTATCTCCACTCAACTACTACTTACACAGACCTGTCCTCGATGTAAGTATGTTCTGCATGTAATGAATCTCTGGACACTAACCACACCTTTACCTGCCCCTTAAAACCTACTCTTCTAATACCGCTCTTAGACTGGTCTGAAACGCTTGAAAAATCTCACTTCCTGAAGCTTCCGTTAAAGGGCCTCTCTCCTGCGTGTAGTCGGGGTCTATCACGCCGCTAAAGCAAAAATAACAACAGAAAACCATATTCCTATACGATGGCTAGATGGATGGCTCTTTTAATGTGACAACGACGTATTTTGGACACCATTTGAAAATTTGAAGAGTCATAATACCGTGAAAAGGCTGCACTAGGTTTATCTCGAGTATGGGAGAATAAAGTCTGACGATTGGGGGTTTAGCGTGCTTCGTCAAATTCTCAAAATATTAGCGGTGCGCAGGCATTATCGTAGAATAAGCTCTCGATGGTTCTCACATAAGGTCTGCAAATAGCTCTGCACAATCGGAAGCCTATTATCGAGGGTAAACCTGCATCAGTATGGTTTCTAATAGTTGATCCTTCAATGGCTTCATATCTCTCTTTTTGAATCATGTACATATAAGACTGCAGAGAAAATTATTCACTACTTTCTCCATCCCGAAATCAGCTTCGGCGGGCTGATATAGAGCTGTTTCTTCGTCGCTATGTTTGTCGGAATAAGAGTGACTTTGATCGGACATTTTGGAGGAGGCTACACATTACAAAATACAAATTCATCACCTCGCTGGTTGCAATAATATGAAGAGCCTCCTTTGCTTTGATCACAAACTACTTAATAGTTATTTGGGTACTTTCCCATTTTAATATGATAATATAATATGTGGGTAAATATCATTTCAACATACCTTGCACATCGATACAGCCGATTTGCTTTTTCATTGGACTCGTATTTATTTGGCACATATAACAACCACGATCGCTTTCGCGCAGTTTGCTGATCTTCAACTTCCAAGTGTGCGCATCTTCGTGTATAACACTTATCCGAGCATTGTGTGTCACAACGCGACCCTGTAGAGCGAGCACAGTTTGATCAGAGGCGCGCAGCCAACCGACCTGTGAGCGGGGGTTAGAGAGAGAGAGAGAGAGAGAGAGAAAGACAGAGAAGATGTAATTGAAATATTATTACAAAAAAGTGTTTGAATGAAATACAAATTCATTAGTGACAAAATCACTTTGTGAAAGAACGCACCTTATTTTTGCCCAAATTTCGTACCGAACACGCCAATATCGCCTCTCTTCCCGCTGGATATGTGACATTATTGATAGTGCCCAAAAACTCAGGATCTGGATCGAGCTGTGAATTTGGTTCTGTAATATAAGTATAAACTAATATTGAACAGTAAAGCTTACATTACTCTTAAGTAATTTAGTTAATATGCGCTTACCATGCAGATTTTGTGAAGACGAACTGGGACACTTGGTCGCCATGAATAGGAATATAATGAGTACGGGCTTGAACTGTGGCATTTTGTTGGTTTGCTAGTTAAACTACTTGTGCTAAATTTTGACTTTCCGTGTAATCTCGACGTGGAGCTGGAGCTTTACTGAGCTTTAAGAGCTTTTACTTTTTTGGGTTTTTTTTAATGCAAATTTCGTCGTTGTTATTAGCTTTCTGAAGCGTATTATGAAACTTTTTCTGAGATTTTTGAGCTATTTTGAACTTTTTAAGTTTTTTTCTAACTTATTGAGCTTTTGCAATTTTTACTGCTTTTATAGAGTTTCTGTCTTTTTAAGAAATCTTTCTCAAATTTAACAGTGTTTTGAGCTTTGTGAGTCTTTTAAGCTGCTTAAGCTTTTTTTTTTTATCTGCGGACAAACTCTTTGTAGATACAGTTAATTAGCTATTTAGGTTGGCTTAACGTGTGGGCGAATATAGCGCATTATTTTGCGTGATCACAGTTTTTTTTTTTTTGAAATTCGGTGCTTATGCATTTCTTTAGTGATTTCCTTCATAAAGGTGTGCTAATTAAGCTTATCCATGCCAAAAAATAAATTATTTAGAATGATTCTTTTAAAACTTATTTTTATCTTGTAGCTTCATGTATTTTGTTTTTATCTATGCATCTGTCTATAGTTTCTTCAAAAGTTTGCTTTGTGACCTTTGATTCTTTTATAATTACGCGCTCTTATGAAGCAAGCATTTACCATCGCCATTCAATCGGTGCTGGTGTAATTATGGCGTTTCCTCTATTATATATATATATTTTTTTTTTAATTAGACTTTCCACTTTCTCCTTGTATTTCTACCGCCTAAACCACTTTCATCAACTTGTTTGATTTATGCTCCTTCTGTTTGACACTTTGTAACTTCTTACAGCGACTACATTTTTATTATTATTCGAAATGTAGTTATTTATTGAAGCCAACAGGAAGCCCGCAGCGCACCAATACCTGCAAAGAGAGAGGGAGAGAGAGAGATAGAGAGCGTGAGAGTGAGAGTGAAATAAACAAAAGGCGGAAAGAAGTGTTGAATAAATTGCGCTAAGTTTGTATCGAAACAAATGGTACAAAAGTTTTCAATCTAATTTTTATTTTCCAAGCAAAATCGTTACTTGCCGCCCTTAGCAGGATGCTCTTGCACGAAGGTATCTATGTCTGTATGTCTGTATGCCTGCGTAATTCCCTGGGGCATGCCAGCTAGTCAGCCCACGACGAATGGTAAGCACTTTTAAGCTGACCACAGCCAACTTAATGAACTTACATAACAAAAAAAAAAAAAAAAAAAAAAAAAACAGAATTTCTTTTTTTGGAATATTTAAGTGTGTCCGTTTAAATAGTAGAACAGCATAACTAAGTTTGAAATGTTCTTGAGGAGGAGTAAGCCTGAAAGGTAATTGTGTTGAAAATTTGCTAACGCGAGGGAGAATTGAAATGTTGTACATTTTCTTTATTGCCAGCGGCGATTTAGCAGCTACGTCAGCCGTAGGCAGCAATTCCCAAAAAGCGAAATTAAATTAACTTCAAAAATAGGAAAGAAACATTTATTCCATTCATGAAATTTTTTCTCTTTTACTTGGTTAGTAAAGGAATAATGAGCGATTTATGGAGAGTGAATTTTGTTCTTCTGGAGTACCCTTTTTTTGCTCTGAAAAATTTTCTCTATTTAGTTTTACGGCAGCTGTTTTTTCTCTCCCGCATTACGATCTAGCACCAAAATATTATAAAAACTCAATACAAATTATATTAATTAGGCTAATTTTTCTAATTACAGCTGCTCCTCGATGGGGAATGTCAACCCGTCCCGGTGTATTTCTGACATGTGAATCAAAGATCCTCATAAAAAAGCACCAGGCGTTCGGAGGCGCCTTAGTATGAATTGTAGGTTTCCTCATTTCTTGAAGTCCGACGGTTCTAGAAGTCCGACGAAATATCGTTTGTTATTGAATGGCTTGGCTTTTACGAGGAGCCTTTATTTAAGGTCCAAAATACACTCGGAGGGGTGGACATTCCCTGCTGAGAGGCGAACGCAATTAGAAAATTTAACTTAATTTACTATATAAATTAACTCTCCATAACTTTTGGACGTTGGTGGCACCGGGATATGAACCTGAGCCTTCCGAATGTCAGTACGCAATGCTAACCGCTCAGCTACCGCGGCCGTCGTCTATCTTGGAGCCGGTATTAGAACCAACAAGTAAGTTATCCTGGAAATCCTGCGCAGAATCCCGCTATCAACGAAGGAAGACCAAGCTCCACAAGTCGCTCACTGTTTCCGTTCTGCTATGAGTTATGGAGGCAAGGACGATGACGACATTTGATGTGCCGACGTGAAGTGTTGTCGAAAGAAAGGTTTTCCGTAAGATTTACTCACCTACAAGTTGGGAACGGCGAACACCGCAGCCGATGGAACGATGAGCTGCACGAGATATACGGCGACATTGACATAGTTCTGCGAATCAAAAAACAGCAGCTGCTGTGGTCCGGTTTGATTGATTGTGCGATTGAGAGGCGTTTAAATCTTCCAGGCACATGCTCCGAAAGTTTGGAGTCGTCGTGTTCGAAAGGGGTTCTCTTATCCGGGGTTTCTTGTGATTTTTTGCTTGGCGTAGACTTTATTATGGTGGGTTTCGCCGAGGCTCGAGTATATGAAATAAGTGAGTTCTACACAAGTTCCTCCCTGATAATTTCTTTTTTGTTAAAAATTTAAATCTTTGGTAGCAACATAGAGGGCCAAACCGAAAAGCACATGCATAGCCGCTGCAGACAAGGCACCAGGGCAGCGTAGGGTAATGACTGTCCAGAAAAAGACTGGTAAGCTCAAGTACTAACTCACACATTTACCAGATAACCAGGGGGCGAAATTGTCAGCAATTCAGTGAGTTTTCTATGCAATAACAGTGTTGGCGCAGAAAAGAGTAATTTAATTTTTGAAGCGGCAAAGAGTTTTCAAAAGGCACAAAGAAACATTTTGTTTCATGAATATACTAAGTAAGAAGAAGAAGAAGAAAAAAACGAAATTTGTTTGCTTAAACGTTTGTAAAACTGCCCAAAACAAGCGTTTAATGAAAATTCAAAAGAAGTTTTTGTAAGGGAAAATTTCATAGAAATTATAAAAATCAAATACAAAAAACCGCTTTTGGCGAGCGTTAAGCAGAGAAAGCAACAAACTTGCCTGACTTTATGAAGGTACATACATACATCCATACATCCATACAAACATACAGATTTACAACGGCAGCTACATATAAATGTGAAAGACCTGCTGCTGTTAAGGGAAAACACACATTTCTGAGATAAACAAATATAAATTGAAAAGAGGGAGGGAAAACGCTGTGAAAGCTTTCACGCCAAAAAGGAAGGTAAAAAAAAACATGAGCAGCTGGGTAATAAAGTTGGGAAAACGCTGAGAAGCGCCAGCTAAAACGATGTTGGCTGCGCATAGTGAAATACGACCGCAGGTACTGCTTGCGTACCTTCGAGGAAAGCGTCACTGGGCTATTCGCAGCGGCGTCAGACCAAGAACTTGCATCGTCTGGAAAAACCACTTTTACTTCTTTCTTTTAGCAGATCTACCATACAGGAGAGTCACATTGATACAACCGGCCAACCACTCCCTGCTTCTGGGGTCTCTCTACCTGCCGTTCGACTCCACAACTTGAAATCCCACGAAAGAGCTAAGAAACATGCGTGAAACATGCGTGCAACTCAGTTACTTGGAGCAGATGTTAACTTTCACCATACAGCCTGGAGCAACAAGAGACTGTACCGATAGAGTGTTGGCTTTGTTCGACTGCGTTAACTCCAAAGTAGGTCAATAATCCTGCGTCGGTTTAGAAGGTCTCCTCGGAGCACTCATTCTATTATCATATACATGCATTAACTTCAAGCTGAGTATCGAGAGCTTCCAGCTACCGTTAAATCTTAAAACCTACTGGGACAAATATGTATGTTACAATCTTGGGTTCACTGCATACACCCACAGTATACGAAGAGTTGGGTTTCATATCGGAGATCGGCGCAGTAGTTGAGAAAATTATAAAAATCAGCTTTGAAGTATTTTTATTTAGAAGCCTGGTCTCGAAATTAGACAAGCCTTGGATGTGGGTGGAGCTAAGAAATTTAAGAAGGAGCCATCGAAGATACTTTAAACGCTTCAATACCGATAAATGCTGGAATGATTACCAGACCTCAACTTATGACGACCACTCTGCAATCGGCTTGATAGTGGTAACTGACTAGCTGATCCGTTTGCGTCTTCCCATCCCAGCTCCTTTGAGCGGTATGCGATTGGCGTCTGCGCAGCGTCAGATGCCAATTATAGCATTGGGTAAAAGACCACGTTTTGCAACGAGCCTAGTGCTCCATTTGAATGCATTTCAACATTCTCCTCCACTCGCTTAGACAGCGAGAACCAAACAAATATCCTCGAAGAACTTTCAGCAGACCGCTCTAAAGACTAAATAAAATGATTTATTAGATAAATACTTGTTTTCCGCAATATCAGGGCATGAGCTCTAAACCCCACTCAAGTATGATGAGGAACCCTGTTTCAACACTGAAATGAAAAGTTTCAAACCATACAAAGCTGCCGATACCGAATTTCTCATGACACTAAGACATACTTCGGTGCCAGTAAACGCGGTAATATATTATATATGATTGGTGCTTTGTAACCGCTGACGCTGCGGACAGATATTATCCGCATAATCCAAGCCAACCAATACCCAGATTATGAATATGGCCGATAGCGTGTAGCTCTGCCGGACTACAGTCTGCACTTGGATGCCGTGGCGAAAAACATATTTCGCACTTCACACACAGCTAGCTCTTGAGTACAGCCGTTTTAGGATAATAATAAATTTTTCGGAAATTTTCTTGCATATTAGGGCGCCCCAAATAGCATCATGTTCAAGAGTTATTGCAGAGCAAAGCGGTGAAACATAGCTGAAAAGGAGCTCACCACTCTACAGATTGCTCTGCAATAACTCTTAAGGTCTGTTGATAAGGTCGGCATATGAGCAATGGAGTATAAAAGAAACTTCTTCTTGTTACAACCCCATACAATCAGATTAATTGCCTTTATTTGGAAAAGCGTAATGACGCCTTCTTTCAGCTCGTCTGGTATCTTTTATAGAATAACGCCTTTCCCATGTTCTCCACTGAATTCGGATCGGAATATTTAACTAACTTCCTAGGGAATTTGTTTATAATTTTTGAGGGAATCAAATGAAACTTAATGATGATCATGCTTTAGTTTGGTTTGGCTACAGACTATTTTTCATGTACCAACTACACCTCAAGTCTATCTAAACGTGTTCATGATCGATAACTGACCTAGACCTACTGCGTTGCTTGATTACAAATCACTACCCTTACTATCCTTGGGAGAAAAATCTGCGCTAGATTGGAAGACATGAAAACCCTGAGTCTCTTTTGCTTTGCCTCATTGAATGGCTTCCATATGAGGACACTCTCGCTGATCTTTCCATCAAATCACTCCCTTCTACCAGAAGGTTCATCTCATTTATTCAGATATAAAAGTGAGGGAGTGCGGCACCAAACATCCCTGCTTCGAAATCATTCTTGCGAGTTCAAGAAAGGAAGCTGGGAAAAGAATGAACAGCTAAATGCAATCCTTCCAGTGTCCACGTATATGTAAGTATCCGCAAAGTAAAAAAAAGGAGAAAAAAAGGAATCCAACAGTCATCCACTGTCACGGAACCTACGCAAAAAAATTTATGCATAAAGTTAAATTAACGCCACACAGCTGTGGACACTCGCACTGAGCGCAAGATACAAAGTCTAAAGATAGCTTTGCCTTGTATAAAAGAATAAGAAATACATAGCAGCAACAAAAAAGAGTATGAAGGCAACGGAACACTAAGAAAGGCTGACATTAACGCCATTTTAACGGATGTCAACAACTAAGAGGAAGAATTCTAGACAAGCGC